GGGTCTCGAGGGGAAAGGGAGTTTTATTGGGTTCCAAGCCTCGAAAATGGCACCTTCGCCGAGGATCGAGCCGATTCCTCATCGGGATACGGATGCGTTCGGTCTGCGCACGTTTGAGCGAAGAGACCGAAGTAGAAGGGTCGAGGGACGAAGCTTCCCTAGTAGCGTCCTTGCTACTAGTGGCGATGCCCTTCAACTTCTTGTTCCTAGTAAGGCCAGGAGCTACGTTCGGGTCCGATCCCCCCGGTCCGTGGTCCACTGAACGGGCACGCCGAACGTTTCGAGGACAGCCGCCGCCTTGGCAGGAGCCATGCGGTGCCGTGCGTCTGGTTTGGGATATTTGAGAAGTGAGAGTCGTTAAAAACAATAAACCCTACATGGCCGTGGCTACAGCGAAATACGCAGGGACCCGCAGGTGGCAGGTTGTTCTACCAAGATGCTTTTGGATGGCATCCTTTTTGTGAGCCATAGCCATAATATGCTTGTGACAGCTGTCAGTTCTGGTCAGCAAGGCTACAGCGCATCTCGGTAAGCCTGGCAGATTCCGGCCCCAGGCTCATTCAAGCATGTCAGATTCATTCAATTTGGCCCATTCAACGAGGATTCGCGCGTCTCTCGTTTTGGCACATGACCCGGGGGCTGTCCTCTCGAATCGCGCGAGGACAGCAACTGGTGCTGCCCTGAGAGGGGCATGAAAGCGTTTTGATGAAGGGATCGGAGTGATACGAGTGATACGCCAGTTCTTTACAAAAGCTCAGTCCCTTACTCTTCGACTATCCTCTACTGATCACTGGTCCACTGCGGTTTGCAACTTGGTACTGCGTCATATTTTTCCGGCACCCTCTTGGGATTTGTCTTCACAGGTATCATTTGAAGACCTTCCCAAAACACTGGGCCTTGTATATCTTTCTTTGAGCGGACATCTTGTCCCTTGACGGTTGTTAGACACGACCGAACCTGCCCTCAAAGGCCAACTCATTGAGGGAGAGGTCGTGGGACACAAGATCGACGGCTCCAAAACCCCCAAATCCTTGGTCGACCTCTCTGGCAGTCCATTTGATGCATCCGTCCCAAGATCTTTCGACCAAAAGCGCTTCCAGTGTCCAACACGATGACCAAGGCTCAACGAGGCCCCACCACCACCACCACCACCACCTCCCGAGGCGGTCGTGCTTGGGAGGGGCCTCCTCAGTCAGAGTGGTTTCTGAAGGTTTTCTGGGCCACATGGAACGCACCTGACTCTGACTCACTGAAATGGAAGAGGAAGACTACTGGGGCCCCTTGGAAGACGACTTTCCTTGACGACTTTCAACCAGAAAGACACCAATTTGGGCCAGAACCTTCATGTGACATGCTTTTGGGCTTTCAGAGAGATACCCATGGAACACTGGAACACCGAGCCTTGCCGGATTCTGCGAAGCCACCACCACTCAGATTGGCTGTGACCCGGTAGCGACCGGCTTCGGATCGGATCCGAGCAAACCGAAGGGGTTGGTGGGTCGAAGCCCCATGATGCGGTCGATGTTCGGGCCTGTTCGGAGTGTCCCAGGTAGACCCCAAGCGCACGGCAGGTGAGGGGCGAGGGGAGGGGGATCCGCGAGAAGGATGGCACTTTGCAAATGTGCATAGACTTCATTCTCTTTCGGAAATTGCTGGGCCTCGCTGGTGCCATGCAGATATCCAAGTTCTGTATGAAAGGCATCGCGGTTGTGGGGGTGAAGGAGACACCCCCCCTGACAAGGAAACTCTACGCAACGTTCCTTTAAAGGAACATTTTTGTTTAAAGCAATCTTTCTTCTTTTGCGTCGCATGTAGTAGGGCTGTCAATCAAGGGTAACTTGTTTTTGTTGACGCAGCTTTGTACTGATTTGTAATATATATATATATATATATTATATGTATTGAAGGCAATTTAGTGAAAGATAGTGAACGTCATGGAAAAGAAACATCACTAGAGGCCTGTCATGGAAATTTCGAGAGTCTGGCGGAGCAAAAACCGCACCCTGCTGAGACCACAGATGTTGTTGAATTCTTGATGCGTTTGGTCCACATGATGAGTTGAACACTGAGCCACCTTGGATCTCCCTGGGGTGGGAGCGTCGCAACATCCTCTTCTGGCCAGGAGTCAACGTCCCCAGGCGGGAAGAATGCTGGTCTTGATTCAACCCAAAGAAGACCCATTAGGCCTTAGTTTCTGGCAGTCATTGAAACTTGCCTTGGACTTGTTTGTGTGCTGCACCTCATGCCCTCACAGAGAGAATCTGTATATTGGATCCGAGTGGGGTGATTGACTTGCATTTGTCGGATGGGTTTTGTGTCAGGCCCGGGCCCTCCCAACTACTTCAGATGCAGATAGAACACCCCACAGGCACGGGGGCCCAACCGCAGTGTGGGCCACACTAACGACTCATTCGCAGGACATTCGTCAATTCACCTATCTGAATTTGGCCCAGCAGTCCTCAGACCACAGCTGATGTTGAGATACACCAGATCTACTCGATTTTCTGCGCCATGTTGTGTGCTGGCCATTGTTTTCCGGTTCTCCTGACCACGAAAAGGACAAAACACCGGAGTTTTGGAGCCTCTGAGCCTCTCCAAACTGGGCTGAACAAGTGCATCATGTGCATCATGTGCATTTTGATGCTAAGCACTATGGAATCAAATTAACATCAATGTAATAGCCTTTACTGAAGAACCATTGTCTTACTAAAGACATTACAGATCTTTACACTACCACACCAGGTCAACCATTGAAAAAACATGGTCTTTGAAGGCTAGATGGTATCTAGGTGGGTGTTGCATGGCCACAGGTGAAGACTCTGGGAACTTCGAAGCCTTGGAAAAAGAGTGGCATCAGGTGCCGCGACACCCGCCGACACATTGGCCACTGTGGCCCGGACGCACTTCTTGCAAAGTGGGAGCGATGGCCTCCAAGCCAATAGCAGAAGGAACCTAAGAGCAATCGGCTCCAACCTAGTAGCGATGGCCTCCGACCTAATAGCAATGTGTAATGTGTTTTTTTTCCTCAAGGTTCCCTTGGCACGGAACGAAGGAAGAAGCGTGTTGGTCTTGGCAAAGCCTGGTAGAAGGTCTACTCAAACATACTCAAACAGCATGTAGCCATGCGAATGGATGCTGGCAAGCCAGACTGCTTCATTCGGCTGGGATTGAGTTCTGCACCATTCTCTTCGGAGCAACTTTCAAAACCAGCCGAGCAGTGAAAACATTTTTCACATGGAGTTTGCTTCAGTTTGTCAAGGATTTCCCCTAGTAGCTAGAAGCTATTAGGTGGAGGCCATGCCATCGCTACTAGTAACAAGAACTACTAGTCGCTAGAAGCTATTCCACGGCCGATGGCGGCCGGTTCTCTCAGATCCGCAGGCTCCTGCCTCCTCATCGACAGGCGGTTTGACATGGGGTGTCGCTTAGAAGGTGGTCAGAGAGTTAGATCAGAGAGTTAAATCAAATCCATAAACACACACACATGACCTAGGACTACCGGCCTGAAGTCCTTTCACTGGACAAACCCCTCCGTCCACCCAGTATCGGCGACCCGAGACGGCCGCGACCCGAACGCCGACGGACGCGAAATGCCAGGTCGCCGGGGGGTCTGGTGCTCGGAGATGTCCCGCAAGGGATGTCCTGCATACTGAGGGATCGGAAATAGACATGAGATAACAACGTTGAAACATCTTGAAACTGTCCATGTTGTTCTTTGAAGTCGAAAATTCAGTCCAAAAGCAATCGACTGAGGGGACATCAGCAACTTCTTCGGAATCCGCCTCTCTTAGACATTCACTGAAACACGTGCTCCAAAAGCTTATCACAGTACGACTGGACTCCGCGAACGCCGCGCTGTGTTCGCTGCACTGAAACATGCCTGGCGTGCCTGGAACGTGTTTCGGCGCGCCAAGGGGGGAGAACGCTACGATGGCGTGATCTTCAAGATTGGTCCGACCTATGGTTTTATCAGGTGGGAACCGGAGGGAAGCTTCGAGGATTTTCGCCGTTGAGATGACATCGATGGGACATGCGATTTTTGTTCGCTTTGACATGGAGAAGAGGGGGCGACAAGGGAGACCTTAAGTGTTTTGGGAGTTTATTGGCTATTCGAGTGAAAGAGCGAGATCGCAAGTGAAAGAGTGGGCATGACAGTTAGTTTTGGTCTTAGAATGGGCAGGTGAATCATACCCATTCTAGTTTTGCACATCTTCTTCTCCTTTGTTTTTTTAAGATCACCTCTTCTCACCATGCTTTCCAGCTGGGATGGGAAAGAATGTTGAGATCTGGAGCAGGTTCGGGGACCGGGCTCACCGTGCACATTCGCATTCGTCCATTCGTCTTCGCTTTCGGGCGCGATGTCGGTTCAGGTGGCCTGAATTACCTAGCAATGGCCTCCAATCTAAAGTAAGGTTGAATTTACCTAGACAGAACCGCCCAAGAGGCCTTCCTTGAAGGAACTCCAAGTTGGGAAGGCATCTGCATTATTTGGCTTATCAGAGGCTCAAGAGGGTCAACCTTTTCGAACAGTCAATGGCCTGGAAGGTAAGCCAACACCGTCTCCTCCTTTTGTTGGACCGTCTGCCGACAATCGTCCAGCTGCAGACCTCCATGATCAGGATGCAAGCTCTTGATTGAAGTGCAATCAACACCTCCCATCTGTCCCCAATGTCTCACCCACTCCCAGATCTCCACAAGTCCGGGATCCTGTGTTCGTCGACAGGCGCGAGGGTGGTCGGCCGGTTGCAGCCAGGTTTCCGGTCTGCGGTTTGCGGAAAGAAGACAGGATTCTGCCTGTGACCTTGCCTGTGACCTTCAGATCTCGAGATGATTTGCAATCTCAATGAACAAATTCAGAAAGGCACGTTGGTTTCCAGACAAACACATCTGGGCGATCAGCTCAACTGGGGTCGACCCCGTGACCGCAAGTCAATCGAGACGTATCATTTGGCTCGAAGCGGAGAGCTTTTAGACGGGACCCGACCACTTTGGTTTTAGACATGGCGGCGCCCTTACTTCAGCGTGGGGAAAATGGTTTGATCAAGCAAGAGCAGAAGATGCCAGCGCACCCTGGCAGAGGTCTTGCCAGGTTAGAGACCGTTTTGCAGGCGAGTTGGACTCTTCCACCATACATGGTTCCCCACTTGGGGCCAGAAGGCCGACTTTGGCCATGCAACAGGGATCCACTTTTTGCCAGCACCTACCAACCATTTGCCATACCGCCACACCAGTGGATTTGACCTCAGCCGAGCGACGCGTTGGCGACGCCCGTTCGGCGTGCGGGTTCCGTGGGATCCATCCGATCTGGCGCATGGGCTGGTTTCCGCACCCCGGTCGCCTGCATCCGCACCCTCGTCGCCTGAGGAGCTTTTTTCCGATTGTCATCGGTATTTCAATGACCATGGGGCAAGTGTTGGCCTGGCCCATCTATTTGCTTGGAGACAGAGAGGCTGGGTGGACCGGGGCCCGTGGATTGAGAAGGCGTACGGTCTACAGAGTGGGGGGCCCCATCTGTTGGCCGGTCGAGTCATGATGCGGTTTTGGATCGGTGAAATGCCCCAGTGAACACCACACCTAGCCTATAGCCTGGAACTGCGTTCGACCACCAAAAATCAGTCATGATGGCATATATGGCGTCTTTGGCCCAAGAAACATGAGCAAGTTTGGCCGACAGGCCGTAATGACCAAAAAAGAGGGTCAATTGATGTCAATGGATATTATATGTAGAAGATTGTAGAAGTAAATTTCGGCAGACACTGGGAAACCTATCAACTGCCTGTATATGGTAACGAGTAACGACCCAAAAAAGCAGTCAAGGCCGTACGGACAAATTTTGGCAGTATTTGCATCTACAGGAGCCTATAGCCAGGACCGCGGAAGGGGTGGTTATTGGACGGAAAATACATAGTCAGGGGTGTCCATAAACCATCCTTTCCGTGGTCCTGGAGCATCATATTTCTCTTGCAGAATCAATTTCCAGATCCGAAAAACCATGGGACTGGGCCTTTGAACATGAGCTTCTGTAGTTCCCTGCCCCCTTAACCCTCCAATCGGGTGGTGATCCGGGAGTCTCCTTCGAGAAGGCCTATGACAAGAAGATCGACATTCTGGCATCGCTGAACCTGGGTTGGCTGTGCCTTGGCTGGTTAAGCACCTACCTGGTAGGTCGTAAGTGTCTCTCCAGCCTTCTGGGATCGCACCACCAGCTTTCCAGGTTTGACCCATCAGAGCCCTTTCAAACATCCGTACTTGGAAGCATTTGGCAAAGCAATTAAAGAGACATGGGCAAACCTCACCTCGGAGCGAGCTGTTGCCAGAGGTACTTAGCCCTCTTTGTGGTTTACTACACCAAGCAGATCGTGTCCCAGCACGCGTCTTTCGTACGAAACCATGCCAACGTCTCCTTGCCAAATCACACAGTGCACAAGGTCTTTGTCCCTCAAGGACTGCAGAGCGTATTATGAAGCCTACCAACAACAACAACAACACGATGCTGCAGCAGATCCAAATGAGAGATTCCCCGAGGTGCTCCTCTGAAATCCTCATGCTCACCTGTGGATCTTGCAATCCACCACCTTGGTCGATCACGGTCAATCATAGTCGACGACCACGGGGCCAAACACTCATGTGGTGCCCATCCGGATTCCCAGTGCGGATTCGGTGCGTTCTCGCAGGACAAAAGCAACTTCCCTACGTCCTACTCGAGGAGGAGGGTCCGGTGGGCACGGCGAATCGCGCCCAGCGAGGATTCGAGAATCTCATGGAGCAGCTCGACGGGTTCGACGGACGGTCCGGAAAGCCACCGCGCAACCGCCACAGCGACCGCCACAGCGAAGACCAGCAAGCTCCAATGATTCGTGTGGGACAGGGGTGTTTGAAGCTTGAAATCTAATATGATGGCGAGCCACCCAGGATATCAGTATATCTACTTAACACCTGGCTCCCACGGCTATGGGTCAAACATTTCTGACCCCAAATTGGATTGTTTTATTTTGCGAAGACAATTGCGACTTCTCCATTTTGGGGGGATGAACAGATGACGAGAGACATCCTCTACCATTCCATTCACCATGCCAGATGAGGACGCACCCCAGCATTTTCGGTGGTGAGGACGCACCGACCTCCAGCTCTTGTCGTGGGGCGGTCAGTGAAGCGGTCAATGGCCGAGTCGCCAAGGGACGCCCTCCCCGCATCGCCCCGTCCGGACAGCGTGGAGACGGACCTTGGAGAGACAGCACGGCCTGGAGTGGCAAAAAGCACTGAGGTACCTGCCCATGTACTTGGCCTACCTTTGCGCTGTTGGCTTTGTGTCACATGGCAATAAATGACCATCAACTTGCAGACTTGGACATTGCAACTCAAACTCGTTCCTAGCCTAGCTAGGCCAGGTGCTTTATATGATCCTTTCCGGAGTGCCGTCGAACTTGTCGAACTTCTCTTTTCTCATAGAAGTTGTTGGATCAACAACTCAGATGTTTGCTTCCAACATTCTGAAGCAAGTAAGGTACTTGCAGGTTTGTTTCCAACTGGACCACCAACAGTATGATATTTTTTCTAACTCACAAACGGCATGACTGTATGACTGCAGAAACTCGGGGATTCTGTGATCTTTACTCTTGATATACACATCTTGGGTCTGTCCGTTCTTATCTGTAACAGTCAACCTAACCATCCTCCACTGTTGCTGGTAATAGGATAGAAGAACCCATACACATTCCTTGTCACTGCAGCTCATTGCCGCACAGTGCTTCCCTTGTGCTTTCCATTGTGCATCAGCTCTGTCCCACATCGAGGTATCCATTTCCAGTCTTCATGAATGCCTGTGTGTTCTTCCTCGCTCGGGCGAAGTATGCCTTCGACTACACTGCCTCCACGGACGCACGCACTGCTGGCTTCGCGGTCTTTGGCATGGCCCAGGCGTGCCTGGAGGCTCAGAGAAAAGACCGGCCAGCTCAAGGGGTATCCCCAGGGTTTTCCGAAAAATGATCACAGTGACTATGGCTTAAGTATTGCCGGGGTAGTATCCCCATAAGGATCATAGTGGTATATAGTATTATTTCTGCCTTCCCCCAAAAAACTACCGATCATTTTAGCGTCTCTTGACCAAGCAGCCTCGTAACCTCATGTGGCTACACGGGTGCCTTGTAGATATGTTGGACACAGTCCAAACGAGCAGTTTCCTTCGTGCACAATGAGGGCTTTGCTGCCGACGGGTGAGTGTGTATGTTCTTATGACCCCATGAGTAAACACAACACTTTCCGCCTTTTCACCGTAGCATTGGGCTCGAAGGGCATGCCCATTTGCTCTTCCTGCCAGAAGTGGACGCTTCTGGCGGGAAGTTGTTCCGTCTGCGTCTCGGCAGGTCGACTGGTGGCAGCAGCTACAGGTCCTAGGCTGCCCCCTACGCAAGAGGCCCAGTACAAGGTGACCAAGATTTTGGACGGGGCATTCTATTCAATTCCATCGGGCGCCTACTTCCTGAAGAGGACAGCCCCGAGAGGGGAGTCTCTGCTCCCAGTGAAGGGCCTGCAGCAGACAAGAAGAAGGGAGAGGGTTCTCCCAAGCCACCGACTGACGCCAAGGAGGAAGTCGCAGAGAGCAGTCAGGGAGACGCGAGGCCGAGTCGCGGACGTGCAGGTGAGGAGACCGGTGTTTCGCCCTACTTGCAGCCCAAGGAGGAGTCGGAGAAGAGTACAAAGGGAGTTGAGGAATCTCCCAAAGCCACAGAAGAACGAAAGCCATTGCCAAGGAGAAGGGAAGAAGAGAAGGAAACTACAAAGAGATCAAGATCCCCCAAACGCAGACAGGAGAAAGACAAAAGGAGACGCAGGAGAGGAGATTCAAGATCAGCTGAGGTGAGTGGTTCAGAAGTGAGGAGACAAAAAAGGGAGCAAGTAGACTCCCAGAAGGAGAAGAAGGAGCGTGCAGAGGAGGCAGCGACAAGAGAACCCCCCATTGAGCGAGAGCCTTACCTACGACCGAGGCCCACACAGAGGAGGCCAAGGTCACCGCATACCCCAGAGCGACCTCCACCGCAGCGATCATCAGGATCGAAAGGAGTGAGCAAAGGTAAGCCACAAGGTTCTGGTTGGAGGGGCCGCGTGCCACACTCAGACCACCCGCGTTGGACCCAAGGAACCAACAAGGGGATTACAAAGAGAGCGAAGCAGGAGCTTCAAGACAGAAAACACCGCGGCCGAGGAGGCCGCTACCATTGGTAAGGGAAGCAATGGCTCCCAAAGTACGACGACCTGCAGCCGCAGTTCCTCGAGTTCGACCTCGCCGTCGACCAGCAGCAGGAGGGGAGGAAGACCTCCCAGTGGAGAAGCTCTATTCGTGGGGTGATCTCACGATGGAAAAGCTGGAGGGCCTCGACGTGATTGAGCTTGACAGAGCATCGTACTACAATGCATCCGTGCATGTGGCTGGCCGTGTGCGGGCCCTGCACCCAACGGATGGCCGGATGGAGTTTGTTCTGACAGGCACCCAGACAGAACGCGTGATGGAGACTTTTGGAGGTGGTGAAGACCGGACCGTCACAGTCCACCTCTGCAAGGAGGGTTGCGCGCAGCTGGAGACTGGGTTGAAGCTGTTCCATGCCCGGGGATTCTGGGATTGCTCGGTATCCCCCAAGGAGTGGCAGATGAATCTCTCGGAGAAGGCCGTCGCAGAGTTTGATGAGCTATCTTCCTTGAGGAGGCTGGCTGAGGAGCGAGGCAAAGGCAGGGGAGGTGAGAGACCTCCCAAGGCCAAGGAGGCCGAGGACAAAGAGGCTGATGGGGAAAAGAAAGCGGGCAAAGAGAAAGAAAAGAAAAAGAAGAGAGGAAAGGAGAGAAAAGCAGAGAAAGAGTGGGAGGAAAAGCTGGAGGCCCAGGAGCGTGAGGAGACCCTGGAGCGGGGTCAGAAGACAGCCCGGGCGATTTTCAGTGGGACGTGCCTGGACCCAAATGTGAGCCGCCGGAAGAGACTTATGAAGAAAGCTCGAAAGATGAAGACAAAGAAGGAGGAGGATGGTGAGAGCAGCTCGACGGACACGTCGGAGGAGGACGAGTCTGATGCAGATGCTCCGCTCTTTGAGGAGACGAGGCGAGTCAAGCGGCTCCATAACCGCTATCCAGGGGCTTTGACGATGCAGGCACTGGAGAATATGAGAGAGCATCTGATGACCGCGAGAGGAGACCTTTACAGCAGCTCAAGGGAGCAATTGGCTCCCATCTTCGCCATTTATACACATCAACACCTCAAACCACTTGCATCGCCGGTCCTCTGGCAAGAGATGAACACTATAGCTCAGGCGAGCGATCTCATCATCCGGCGCAAGATTGCAAGTGCGCTGGACATCTTGGTCCAGAGGGCTAAGTCCCTTGAGGCCACCCTCAAGGGGGGGGCACTATACAGTGTCCCGCCAACTTGAGCTTGTCGGGGCCGACCCGGTTGCCATGGCGGAAGCAGGCGAGAACTATGAGGCGGCAAAGCATGCCCGTGAGGACTTCAGGAACAAGTCAATGGGAAGCAAGCCGCGCGGAATGGGAAGGAAAGGCGACAATGAAGGAAAGAATCGAGGTAAAGCTGTTCCATCTTCAGAACCGGCCTACAGAGACAAAGGAGAAAAAGGGAAGAAGGGCAAAAACAAATGGGAAAAGAAAGGAAAGACCGAAAGTTAAGGGCCGGGAGGACTGAGGAAGGAACAGCAAAAGGATCGGAGGAAGCGTCAAGTTTTGACAGAGGAAAGTCGCCAAACAGAGGTAGGAGAAAGAAGCAAAGGGTACAATGGCAGGAGAAAGGAGCTAAGGCAGGAGAGGCAAGACCAGAGGCTGAGGATGAGCAGGCTATAGAGGAGCTGCTGCGAGTTTGCCAAGAGAAGGCAGGAGACTATGAGCCTGGGGAGCAACCACTGTTGAGAAAAGTCCAGGGTTTGCTCAAGGCCGGGCAGGCTTTTCAGAGGCAGAGAAGGGGATGGACTGCTCAGGCGCCTCCCAGCTTGAGGATTCGGATGCAAGGGAGATAGGCATGGGTCATCTCCCAATGCAGATGAGGAATCAGGCTGAGGATCGTCCTGGCAGTTCGCAGCAGAAGGTACGGGAGCAGGGTAAGGGCTCCCAGCACCAAGAGAGTTTTTCTGAGCGACAGCATTTGAAGGGGCGCCGCTCGGAGTTTGAGTATTTTGCGAATTTGCCTACATCGGGTCCTCGACTGGCTTTAGTACCGTGCCGAGGGGTGCAGCCCGAGTACAGCGATGCCCCATTTTGGGGGAGCGGAGTGTCGGAGCATGAGGCTGAGGACTTTGGGAGACTACGCCTGTTGCTCAAAAACAAGTGTCAGAATGGTTCAGCAGTCGTGGGAGATGTGGGGGAAATCTTAGCCAAGCTGATGGAAGCGTTTGAACTACATGTGAGCACGCGTTGCGGTCAGTCCTCGGAGGGAATCTTTCCCCTCCCCCTTCCATCAGATTTAGGTTTCTCCGGTCACCACATTCCCTTCCTTGAGGCAATGATTCGTGGGCTGAACCTGCTTGCTGGGTCAAGAAGCCGTTCCAAGGGTAAACCCAGAAAGGTGAGTCGTGAGCTGGTACATCAATTGGAGAAGGTTCTCGTGGAGTGCAGTTTGCTGGGTGAAAAGTGGGACCACACCCCTTTTCAGGAGTTCTTCAGGGCGAGGACTCTAGACTATTCAGGTGAGGAGGTCAAGGTTGCTCGTCGGTTCACTTGGCAGATGGTGGAAGCGGCACTACCCCAACGTCAGATTTCTGCGATCAAGGAACCCTCGAGTACGTGGTCAGTTTCGAGAAGTGTCTACTCCCGCCTCAGGACCAATTCATTGGAAAGACTCCGGCGATCATGGTGGACCACTGCGACTGGGCCGAGGTCTGCCGTGGGCTGGTTCAGCGGGGAGTCTGTGGGCTCATGAAGAGGGAGGAGCTGCACCATATTAGTGGACGCCCTTTGATGAACGGCTTGTTTGCTGTTGAAAAAGGTGAAAAAGGGGTAGGTCCTGACGGGGTTGAGTTTGATATTTGTCGACTGATCATGAACTTGGTCCCTACAAACTCTATCTGCCGAAACCTCGTGGGAGACACGTGCACCTTACCAACAGTGGTGGGCTTGTCTTCTATCATTCTTGAAGATGACCAGCTGCTGTTGACTTCGTCTGAAGATATAAGGTGTTTCTTTTACCTTTTCCAAACCCCACCGTCGTGGTGGCGATACATGGGCTTTGCAAGGGAGGTGCCCTTGGAGGCACTCCCAGGGGGGCATGACGGAGCTGGGTGGCACCTTGTCACCAAAGTCTTGCCCATGGGGTTTGTGAATTCTGTCGCGATAGCTCAGCACGTACATCGACGAGTCATCTCTTAAGCACTGCATGCCGATGCGAGGTTGGCCACCAGGCACCAAGAGATCAGGCGAGATCGCACGAGCAGCAGGGCCGACCGTCTGTTCCGGGTGTACCTCGACAACTTCGATGAGTTGCGAAAGGTGGATCGGAGGCGGGTTGCCGCGTTGATAGAAGGCACGCCATCAGATTGGACGCTGGCTATTCGGGAGACCTATACCACTTTGGGACTACCACGACATCCAAAGAAAGCCGTGGAGCAGGCCAGCGGGGCCGAAGTGCAGGGAGCATGGGTTGATGTGAGCAAGGGCACAGCAGCTCCCAAGCATTCCAAGGTGGCGCGCTATTTGGGTTTGGCTTGTGAGGCGGTCGTTTCAGGAAGGGCGACTATGAGAGAATTGCAGGTGATAGGCGGAGGCTTTGTTTACATTGCCATGTTCAGACGGCCGTTGCTCTCTGGGCTAAATGCAATCTGGAGGAAGATCACCAGCATGAAGGAGTTAGGTAGCCATGCCAGGCAGCCCTTGGGCAAAGAAGTGGAGCTAAAGCTGATCCGTTTCATCTCGCTCAGCCCTCTGGCCTTTATGAACTTTCG